CGTATTAAAACTGTTGTACTAAACTAGCTGGGTGAGAGGATGGGAGATACCCCAAGCAAGCATGCCACAGATTTCTGTTCTACTTATCTGATGTGCAGTAGTTTTTCATGAATAAGTGCTTTTCCTTTTGTTGAAAACCTTTGGTCACTTTCCAGAGTGCTGAAAAGGTTGTTTTTGATAACTTGGTATAATTTTATAGTTGCGTTTCGGGCTGAGGATTTGGCATCCTCCTCACTCTGTCATACTGGAAGTTCCAGCTTTTTTTTTTGGCCATCGTTTGCATGGCATATGTTTTTATTATTTTACATTTAATCTATTTATGTATTTATATTTAAAGTGGATTCCTTTTAGATAGACTATACCAGGGTCTTGTTTTTAAATCCACTCTGGTAATCTCTTTCTTTGAATTGATATTTTCAGGCTATTTGCTTTTAATTTTATGATTGATCTCGTTAGATTTAGGCCTACCATTTTATTGTTAGTTTCCTGTTTGTAACATCTAGTTTTGTTTCTTTGTTCCCTCTTTCCTGCCTTTTTTGGTATTATTTAAATCTACTTTTATATTCTATTTTAATTCATTCATTGGCTTTCTGGATTTATCTCTTTTTCTTTGTATTTTATTTTTAGTTATTGTTTAGGAATTACACTATACATGTCTTTCAAAATCTGATTTGAAACTCTTTTACTTACCTCAACTAACCTTTATGTTATACTTATCATAAATAGTACATCTTTATATATTAAAAACCATATCAGATAATGCTATAATTTTTGCTTTCAGCAGTCATGCATATCTTGAAGACCTTAAAAGGAGAAAAGTAATAGTCTATTATATTTACTCAGAAATAGTAACTCTTAAATTTGAAGACATAATGGCTAAACCTGAGAAAATTTGGTGAAAGAAATAAATTTACAGGTTTAAAAAGCTCAGCAGACCCCAAATAGGATAAATGCAAAGAACGCCATTTACAGACGCATGATAATCATTCTACTAATGACTAAAGATAAAGAACAAGTCTTGAAGGCACCTAAAGAAACAGTGATTCAAATAACTGTGGATTTTTCCTTGGACACCATGGAGGCTGGAAGATGGTGGAACAACATCTTTCAAGTACCCAAAGAAAAGAATGGCCAATCCAGAATTCTGTATCTAACGAAAATAATCTTTAGGAGTTACAATGATACAAAGACATTCCCAGATAAAGGAAAACTAAGAATTTGTTGCCAGCATACTTGCTCTGGAAGAAATGCTAAAAGTTTTTCAGGCTGACAGAAAAGATATAAGCAGGAAACTTGGATCTTCAGGATGAAAGAAGAGCAGCAGAGTTATTTAAGAGCATCCTTCGTCCTGGCCTCAGTGCAAGTTTCAGACTTGACCAAATTTGCTACATTATATTTGGCTGATAGTTTTCCAGTTTTTAACTTGAGCCCACACTTTGAACTCTGTTTCTTTATTCCTGCCTGATATATTGCTACCCCAGGTTTATTTCCTATTTCTTGTGTTTAAGTTAGAATCTTAGATAAATTTTGTTTGACTTTATTGCTTTCTAAAAATATACTTTCCATTGGCTGAGCTTATTAGCAAGTATATTTTTTAACTGATTATTGAAATAAAGATGCCATATAAAGTCTTAGAATTGTGGCCTGTTATAAAATGGTCATGAAAATTATGTTTAATTGAATCCACCTGAGAAGCTATTTAATTTTATTTCTCTCTCTTTCCCAAATATTTTCATGGTATGACAAAGTCATTAATTTTCCAACCATATTATAGATAGTATTCAACTCAATATTTTAATTAGAATAACAGCTCAAGTTTTTTCTAACAAATGAAAGGCCTGTATATTAAGCTACTAAGAATAATGGTTTTTTTGTTTCATTTGTTCATTTAATATATGCAGTTCTGCCTGTTTCAGATTTAATGAAATATTTTTTATTCATCGCATATAGGAAGTAAGAAATGTCAGTTTTTCTTTCCCCTTCCCATTCCTCAGTACTTTGACCTTTGGTACTGACAGTTTATGTATCCTTTTCTTTGTCATATCTGAGATATGAGCATATCTGCCAAAGCAAAGTGTAAATATTCATCTGTTACCATTGTAGAAAGTAAATTATGGAAATTTTAAAATCATAATCACATATTCTTTCCCTATTTCACAATACAATAAGGCAATGCTGAATTAAAATGGTGGACAATTGCAGGTCTTAGTAATTTTTGCAGCCAAGACAAAACACTTTTTTACACATTTAATTATTTTTGAAATGATGAAAATAATTTATTTTGCTTGCTCCCATATGATTTTTGATGGATTTTTTAAATTCCTTTAAATAAGTGGCCTATAGATACTGCAATTCAGAAGTGTTGATATAATTTTAGGTTTTTTCCTACAAAAAAATTAAGTTTTTAGCATTGGCATCACCATACTTAGAGTGTAATAGTCTAGAAACTAAAATTATCTTTGGCTTTTTCCTATTTCACTATTTTCCATTTCCAATCAAGCATACCTGATGCTTTTCTTAAAATATCTCTGGAATTTACCTTTAAATTCTGTCACACTGCCTCTGTTATAGTCAAATGTCTACTTGTTTTCTCAGCCTACGATCTCTTTCCATTTCATTGCTTTCTGCATATTTGCCATTTTAACCTTTCTAAAAGAGTCCTTTCACCCTCCAGGAATATTCAAGAGATGTCATATTCCCACTACAGTAAGTGCACACTTCTCTACCCTGTATTCATTATCATCTGTGTCTCCACCAAGCCCTCTCTATTGAACTTATTTTTGACTCTTCTCCCATTGGTGTATTTGATACTTTTGGGGCTCCAAATAGCCTGTTGTGCATGCTGTATTTATTTTTTCACTTTCATACCTTCCCTGAAGCATTCACCCTCACACCCATCCCCTGTTTGGAATGCTGTATCTGCTTTCCTTTTGACCTAGTCAAGTTCCCATCTCCTTCAATAAATTTTGCAAAAACTTTTCCAGCCCCTCATCTAAGTCCTTTCCCTGAGCTCCTATCACACATTGTCTCTTGTATGTAATGTGATTCTCAATGGCAGAGAGCTTGTCTCATTCTTCTCTTGGCACCTGGCCCCATGGTGTGTAGCTGATGGGTTGCACTTCTGTCCCATTTCACTCCTATAATCACTATATAAAGTGAGGTTAGAAAGGTTTCTTGTTTCTTTTTCTTTTTATTAAATTCTAAAACATGATGATTCTTCCCTCAACTCCCTCACCCCCACACACTCCACATGAGAAATAATTTTTTTGTGTGAAATAGATAGGTAGGCAGGCAGACTAATCTAGATGAAATCTGTGCTAATGGAGCCAAGAGTGAAATTGACTCCCATGTGCATCATTTAGGTTCAAATAGATCAAAACCCCTGGTAAGTGTCCCAGACTGTTCACTGACTCCTGCCTACATATCTTCAAAAACGTATGTTGTTCAGTATTGGGGAAATTGGGCAATAAAGTGTGAACTTCCTAGCACAAATCCCTTGAAATATTATAAAAATAACTAGAAATGAATGAATTTTGCACTTGGATTACTTTTATTTGAAAAAAGTTATTAAAAATGCTCCTGTTAACATAAGTCTCTAACAAGGACTGGCAAACTTTTTCTGTAAATGGCAATATAGTAAATATTTTTAGGCTTTGCAGATCTAAGTGGTCTCTGTCACATATTCTTTTTTTGTTTTTGTTGTTGTTTTTTACCACCCTTTAAAAATGTAGAAACCAGTCTTAGCTTGCAGGCAGTACAAAAGTGGGCCATGGGCCCAATTTTGCTTGTGAGCCATAGTTTTCCAACCCCTGGTCTGTAGCCATAAGAAAAACTAATCTGTGTAATTGAGCATCCAAGAGGGCAGAAGATTTTCTATGCAATAGGGAAGACATTGCCAATAGTAATCTAAGCCCTGAACAAACTGGACTGTGCCCAGAGGGGTGCAATCAAGTGGTGGGAGCATGGCAAACCTTGACCTGAGAGGAAGGGCTCGAGGAACAGGGTCAGGATTAGAGAAGGCTGAGAGATGGCTTCACAGTGGTCTTCACCTTGAAAGTTCCATGATGTAGAAGAAGTAGTCTTGTCCTGCACAGCACTTCCTATAGAGCCTAGAGTGGAATGTGCTGTGTAAATGTCCTTCCCCTAGAGATTGCTTAGCAGAACTTCCTCTGCTCAGAGATGCTTTGTGATGACTTTCCCTGAGAAGGATGAAGTATCTTGTAAAGAACTTCTCAACCTGAGACTTGGTGATTTGGTGTATGACAAGGACATAATTGTGCTCACCATGGAACAGGTTACAACTATAGACATCAATAATGAGAGAATATTGGAGTAAATGGAAGGATTTTATTTGGATGGAATTAAAGTAAATCTTCATAGCATATGTACACTTAGAGTGGATTTTTAAAAAGGAACCATATGGCTGGACAATATATAAAAACGTCACCTACCGTTAATTTCATTTTATTACTAACTTTACTATGGTGAAAATTTCCAAAAGACATCTTGATTCTTAGTCCAGAAATTTTCTATTTAGTTCATATCAACAAGGTGCACTTACTGGGATACTATAACTTATATTTTTAAGTCCCTTGCAATCTACTTAACAGAAGGTAAAATCACAAAAGTAGCAAAAACCAGGTACCTTGAAGTGGCTGTAATTGTTCTTTTATCACTGTAGCAACTTTTGATTCATCAAAAGCAGAAGCCATAGTAACAGACTGCTGGCTCAGATTCACTGCTTGTGTCTCTCCTTTCTCTATGCCAGCACTTTTCTCCATGTAAAAAAATTCTGGCAGGATAATTTAAAGACACCTACCTAGGTTGGATTTGCATACTAGACCTAAATTCTGTGCTTCAGCATTCACGTCTGTGAAAATAGCTGCAGCTACTGATTTTATTTGGTTGAACTTTTACAGTATTGATTCGTTTTACTTAATTAATGTAATTACTTAATTTAACCAGGATGCAATTTATCTTAATTTTGATTTTGGTTGTAGAGGTTGGCGATTTGAAGGAGCTGCAGACACTAGACATTTCTACCAATCGTTTGCTAACTTTACCCGAGAGGCTTCACCTGTGCCTTTCTCTGCAGTACCTCACTGCGGACCGAAATCGTCTGTGGTGTGTGCCGCGCCATCTCTGCCAGCTGCCCAGCCTCAATGAGCTCTCCATGGCTGGAAACCGTCTTGCATTTTTGCCACTTGGTAAGTGATCATGTTTGTATGGTAAAGCAAAAATGCCAAAGAATAAGATGGAAAGCCTTTGTTTCCTTGACTAGGAAGGGTTAGTCAGTTTCTTTCATTCTGTTTATCTTGAAGATTGCCTCTCTAAATCCATTTTTTCAGTGAACAAAGCATCATTCCCAGTTAACAAATAACATTTATTTCAATTAGGGATTTCATATTTTAAAAAGAAATCAGTGCTAAAAATTTGTTTAGGGAGAAAACATATGAGATATGAGATGATTTACTCCTAGAAAGGAATTAAATATACACATATATATATAAATATATATATAGTGTGTGTATAAAACTATAAAATTGAGAGGGGATGTGGAGCAGTATGAAAGGAGAGCTAGTGGTACAAATATATCTGCTTAGATGTTGACTTCTATGTAGAAAAATTTGTGTTGGGTATCCTAATGACTACTATTACCAGATAACCAGACTACAAAATTTTAAAGACTTTAAAATTAGTTGAACTGCTTGCTGAGCTAGAAATGTCACCCTGGCTAATAAATAACATATTATCCACAGTAGATTTCTGTAGCTGGCCCATTTTGACATAATATATGTTAAAGAACATAAGCCTTTAATAAAATACATTTATTTTCACTGAGAATTGAATTATTTTGTTGCCTTATGAGAAACAAAAGTGCCATTAAAAAAAAATTAAAATACGGAGCTCCACAGAACTGTAAACTGTCACAATAAGCATCATATGATTTTACTCATAAAAGCATTTTTTATAATGAATAATTTATCTCTGAGGGCAGTGAAGTGAATAATTTACTAGACCCTGAAAGGAAATATTTTCCACCATAATAGAGTACACATATTATTTTCAATTAAAAATAACTATGAGACATGAAAATCAATTTGAGTAATAGTAAATATCCATTTTTAGATTACTTTTCTATAAATACAGTTAAATTCTATATTTATAAAATTAACGAAATAAAACCATTTCAGAAGCAAGCTACATTTCTAAGAAATCAGAGCTTTCTTTCAAGTGAGAAAAATATCAAATATAAATAGGTTTAAAAAAATAAATATATCTACTGCATAAACCACAGGTTATAGAACAATTATAGTGGACAAGCACCGAGTTACAAATCCAAAGATCCAGGTTCTAGCCATGCACCGTATCAAGTGCATTGACCTGGAGTAAATCACCAAAAACTCTGAGCTTCATTTTCCTTATCCATAACCCAGAGATAATAACATTTATCTTCTTTACTTTAGAGTTATTTTGAAATTGAATAAGATAGCTCATGTATAACAATTATAATGCACTATACAAATGCAGGTGACTCTCAACTGAGAAGGCACAACTTGTGGATTACCATATCCTGCTTTTTAAAAGTTCTACCCTCCTTCTCATCTCTATGACCCTCCATAGTAACCACCACAACTTGTATTTACCACTTCTTAAGAACTGCGACCTACACCAATGCTGACTCCCTACCAAGTGATTGCTAGAATGGTGCAGTCAATGCTGATAATAAATGAGTGGAGGAAAGGAGAGAGGGAGGGAGGGAAAAGATGTGGTGGTTTGATTTGTGTGATGTAGAACCCAACTTACTGATATAACAGAGTTCAGGGTAAAGCTGGAAATTCCATTATAAGCACCCTTAACTTAGTGTGGTTTGACTTTAAAGTGTTACCAGAAACAGATTAGCTTAAGTCTGGGGCTGCCTATGCTATTATTCATAGTAGTGTTATTATTATTATTGACCATCCATATAAGGAGTGTTTCCATGTGCAATACTACTACAGCTATTTGTGAGAATAATGGCTGTCGCTTATTGAACCAGGTATTCTGTTAAGCGCTGTACAGATGCCCTCTAATTTAATTATTAGAAAACCTTATGACAAAATCTATTATTACAAAACCTATTGACAACCTAGTTTTACAGATGAGGAAATTGGGGTTCAGAGAAGTTAAGTAGCCTGCCCAGAATCACAGCTAATCACAGAATCACAGAATTGAATTTCAGACTCCATCTGATCCTAAACTCCACATTCTTTCCACCTTGACATGCTATTCCCATATTCCAGGCATGATCCCTCTGCAAGGGAACTTCATTTGACAATAGGCTGAACTATACTGAACATCTTTCTGGTTATTGTGTGGCCATCTCCAATGTCAAATCTGGGCTCAAATACCCCTATGGACACTCTAGTTGGCCCCATTCAGTCTCTCTCTATTTGCTGAGCACGGTCTGCTATAGCTTTCTCTAACTTACACTCTGAACATCAACCAGGTGCTCCCAATTACTTGTTTCTACCTTGTCTAGCTTCTGCAGATTCTGCAGCAACAGGAATCTTATAAAAGCTTAGACCAGAGACCTGTTACCTAGGTCTTTCTTGGTGCTAGCCACTCTTATTTTGCCTGGCCCCTTCAACCTCAGCAGAGCTCCTGATTCCCTAATTTTTAAGTTGTGCTGCTAACAACTTATTTTCCTTTGCCTTCGTCTTCTTGGTTTTTCCATTATATACACTTTGTCTCAAATCTAAACCATTCATACAATGACTGGTTCCGTCCTTCCTGTGAGTCTGATCCACAGGCCTGTTCTCGTGTCTGATAACCAGAGGTACTCTTATCAGAATGCCATCTAGCTTTAGACCCTGAGTTCTGCCTAGAATCCCATGTACAATTGGACTTTTTAAACTGAATGAATCTTGTTTACTAATCTTTAGCCTGTGGGCCCTGTCTCAAGTCCAGCCAGTTTCCATCTTGCCTCTTCTCTCTACCTCACTGTAGCTCCTCCAGCTGTGGCTCCTTATTCCCCTAGTCATTTGCCGCTCATTCCTATCTGTTGTTTCAGCAGTGACACAGCCGAGCATGTGCTGTAGTGACAGTGGTGTTGGGAGAAAAGCGAAGCCATTCCAGTAGGAACCTGACCACTGTTAATGTTTGGGATGCCAAGGAGTGACATTGTGTGTCATGCTGAATGCTTACAGCAACAGATGACCTGAGTGGCAGTGTCTGGTGCAGGGTGATAGAAACGGTTGTTGAGTGGTAGAGTGCACTACACATTGCCTGGCTGCTCTTCTGCTTTGGGACCTCAGCTGTTTATTTCCTGGGGCATCTTCTGTATGCACTGTGCGAAATACTGGTGTCGCTAAGGAAGCGGTCATCTCCTCTTCAGCATTCAGTGTTCAATGGTGAGTAGAGCCTTACAGATAGTTTCTGTCTCCAGGTTTTTTGTCACTCCCAAAAGCTTGCCTCTGTGTTAGGAGAGGTTTTCCTTTGCAAACTTGTTAATATCAAAGAGCATGAGAGGCAAGAGGGTTTGCGCTGGGCCCTGAGGAGGGCCCCTCACAACAGTCTGTAGTAACCGCAGCTCTCAAGCCTGGGGCCATGGGCAGCCCAGGAGATGGAAGCAGCTTCCACATTCGCCTGGGTGCCATCCTGGCTCACAGCCCTAGCAGGAAAGAAGTCTATAGATGTATTTTATTTTACTATAGAAAAACATACAAGCAAGAGGATGGTGATGAAAATTGTCTAGTAAGAAAGAAACAGGCTGCCTGAAGCAATGCTCTGCCCTGGTCTCAGACTGGATTCTTTGAGAACAACAGGAGTAAAGAGTCAGGAAGCAAATACAAGCAGTAGTGGCCTTTCTGCATTGTTATATTGGACGAATCTTTGTAAAGAATGGATGAGACAGCCAGAGACCTACAGTGTGAGGTTGCCCAAAGAAGACTTCAGGAGATTGGAGACAGGATAGTCTGTGAAGATGATGAAATTAAAGCTGATAGAAATATCAACAATCTTCTCAGTCTCATTTTTGGGTTTTGGTTTGTTTGTTTAAAGTACTATGAAGGTGGATTTGGAAAGGGAATTCAATTAAGTCTTTAGGAACAAAATCATTAAGTCCATAGCTGTCCTTCCGTGGAGTTTATGCCCTTGAAACCTTTCCTTGAACTCCTTTCTGATAAACCAAAGCCATCTAAATGCCGAGAACTATCTAGGACAGAGTCAAATGAAGCATGTGGCTGCTGGCAGTGCCTTTCCTCAGAGAACTGAACTGTTCTTGTGGACTTAGCAAACAGAGCTGCCTCTTTTCAATAGTTAGAAGATACTGTGTGTGTGTATACACTCACAACTAAAGTTTTCAAATAGAAGGCTCCTGTGCTTAACCGTGATTCTATAAGCATAATAGAGGAACTTGAAAGTCTTTGAAATGGGTGCTGTAATATCTCTGCCTGTGAGTGGAGGTAGGAATCTTATTTTGGGGAGCTACTTAATGAATTCAGTTTCTTGCCAAAGAAGTTTGTCTTAGGAGAAAAGCGGTTTTTTATAGGGCTTCTTAAAGGAATGTCAGAATACAGCCTCTTCAGAAAGCAAGTACAGAAGCTATGTGTAAGAATGACTTAAATCAGTTGTAATACTATCTAAACCATTAACACTCTTTGAATATGTTCTTTTTAAGATGAAATGATGCATAAAGAAAGAAGGATGCTCCTATTATAACTATACCCTGACAGTTGAGTGACAGATTAGTCTACAAACAGAAGCTTTATTCACAGTGGTGACTATCAGTGAGGAGGAGGGGGAAATTAATCAGTTGCACCTAGTGCTATGAGATTTAATAGAGGCCTTGAAATGTGAATATTTGTTGTTGATTCAGTATAGCTCCGTACACTAAATAGCTCGTAGAGTTGTGACTCACCTCTGGGCTTCTGAAAGTGTAGGAAAATACAAAGAAAAGGGCTTTTTCCTCTAAGGCTTTTTTACCAGGTGTTCTTGGTTTCTCTTGCATAATTAATAAGCCCAATTATTCAGTAATGTTTGCAACTTATTTAATGTTGAATAATAGATATAAGTACTATGAGGTTACCCATGCATAAATTGGCTATAGAAAATCATTCTTTAAAAATAAACAAATGGGACTACATCAAACTAAAAAGCTTCTGCATAGCAAAGGAAACCATCAACAGAATGAAGACAGCATAACAATTGGGAGAGGATATTTGCA